GAGACTCCTGTTGCTGACCCTGGACTTTAGGTGACCCTAGCACAGTTTTTAAGCATGTTCGGTACTCTAACTCGGGCAGGATTTATTTCTCTTGCACCAGCTATCTCAAGTTGGGGGAGGAGCTCAGACTCCGCAGCCCACACTCAAGAGAAGCGGGTCCATGTTGGTCAGGTCCTAGGGATTATGCCAGCACAACCAGCTATTTCGGTTCAGCCTGAGGTCAGGCCATTAGCATCTGAGGAGGCGCAGAGGATACTTGAGAGGTTCAAGAAGTATGATCCACCTAGTTTTAGTGGCACAACTACCGAGGATACACAGGGCTTTCTAGAGATGTGCTACTGTATTCTCCGCACCATGGGTATTCTGGAGGTGAGTGGAGTTTCTTTTATTGCATTTTAGCTGTTAGGAACAACGTATCTGTGGTGGCGGGCTTACGAGGAGGGTAGGCCAGCTGATATAGCCCCACTCACTTTGGCTCAGTTTTTAAGGATATTACTGAGAGTGTTTGTTTCCAAGACCCTTCGGGATGCATGACACACAAAGTTTGAGCAGCTACGTCAGGGGGCTATGATAGTGTCAGAGTATGCTATCAGATTCAATAAGTTATCCCGGCACACACCTACCTTGGTTTCTACAGTCAGAGAGCGAGTCTGTCGATTCATCGAGGGGCTCAACTATGGTATTAGATTCAACATGGCTGGAGAATTGGAGACAAATACTCCGTGTTGCACCCTATTTTGCACAAGACAAAATAAACTACAATTTATAGTACTCTATAAGGTTAATTAAAGTTTAAAGTCTCCACCTAGTAATTAAGGTATACTAGGACACATATACTATATTATGTAATGTGCACTTTAATTTTAATCTATGAAACCATTGAAATTCTAGGTAAGGGTTCAAGTTATCTCGCGGGGAAGGTGTTAGGCATCCATCAAGATCCAAAAAAATGTGATTCCGGTGGACTTGATCAAGTAAGGGAAGGAAGGTTCAAAAGAATGATTAGTTATTTCAAAAAGAATTCCTATCAAAGAGTATCCAATGCAATGATCCAATGCAATGTCATGTGGTGGGTAAATATTCAAAGCATGATCAATTCATTTGTGGTAAAATATATACAGTAGGATATGCAAAGTAAATTAGTAATAATAAAAAATCTTTTTCGGAGTTCGATTGAAAGAATTGGGTTCGAAATAAGGTATAAAGGTCCTCAATTTATAGTTAAAGCCGAGTGATTTGACTGTACAAGATTATTCTTAGTTGAACACATATAATAAAATGGTAAAGTATTATTTTGAATAACACAACTAGCAATTAACTTAAAGAAATGATGGACTAAAGTAGGAAAAGTTGTCATAAATAGAGGGAGTATAAAAGGAAATTATCCACATAAATCTTACATATTACAATGGAGTAATCAAATCAAATGTATATCAACAAGTGAAACGTTTTAAAAGAGTTTGAATAAACTTGAAGAAGTTAATTTATGATTAAAGTTAAATAATTACTATAATGAGTTGTATTATATATACAAAAAACTCTGTGAAAAAATGAATAATAATGGAGAAAATTATCTTCAAAAATGAGTAAGTATTTTGTAATTGACTAAAATAGTTGACTAAATGTATAAAGAATAAAACGTAAAAGGTTTGTCAAGAGTGTATGAGTACGAAGGAATATTGATTTTTATAACAAAAGAAAATTAAGACCACACAAGAAAGACCCTAGAGCTTGGTTCAAAAGAATTGAATGAACGGATAAGTAAAAATGTATATGTAAACAATCAAATATATAAAGAGGCTAAGAGTATTACCAACCCTGTACAAGAATATCATAAAAGCCCATAAAGAACGTTGGCAGTCATCAAGTTAGACCCATGTGTATGCAACAGTTGAATTAATCCTACATATATTAGACTCAATTATGATTTTACAAGTTATGTCTACTTGAAGTAAGATAGTCAAAAATAATTTACAAAGAGGTTGTTAAAAGAAAGATCATGTTAATGCAGTTGTGAAGAGGTAAAGTCACCTATTTTGACAAGGAAATGACACGCCTTTCATGTTATGTAACTCAATTAATTAACTAGGTGTACACCAATCCTAATTAATCAAACGAGTTATAAATATAATCTGACATACTAAATCTACGTACAAGTTTCGCACAATTATCTAGCACATAATGTCTTAAGTTGACCAGATTATTACCTAGATGCAACACAACCTAAGTTTGGCAAATATGTAAACATCAAGTAAACTAGCAAATATGATATCCATCTACGGTTTCACTATATACTTGCGTTTTGTACATCCAAGAAGGGAAGTTACGAAGTGTGAAGCTTGAGGGGGAATTGTCTTTTCGTCTTCGGGTATCGTCTTCCGAAAGTAACTCTATGTGATAGTACCCCGCAAGACAAAAGAAGGGAAATTATTAGTAATATATAAGTTAACAATAAACTAATTTATTTTGAAACGATTTTATTTGAAAATGTTTTTGGGAGATTGTTTCTGAAAATAGTTTGAAAATGCTTGTAACGACTCGACCGGTCGTTTTAATCTCTAGCGTGTTGTTCGGCAGTTTGAAGCTATGAGTAGCTTCACTTCATATATTATGACTTGTACGTGTGGTCGAAATTGAATTTCGGGAAATTCGAAGTTGATTTAGAAAGAAAATTCTAAATTAGGGAGCTTTAAGTTAGAAGAATTGACAAGGGTTTGACTTTTGAGTAAACAACCTCGGAATTGGGATTTGAAGGTTCCAATAGGTTCGTATGATGATTTCGGACTTGTGCGTATGTTCGGGTTGAGTATCGGGTGATCGGGCTCATTTTGGCACTTAATATGGAAAGTTGGCATTTTGAAGGTTTTAGAATTTCTTAAGTTTGATTTGAAGTGTACTTTGGTGTTATCGTTGTTTGTTTGAGGTTCCGAGTCTTAGAATAGGTTTGTATCCTAATTTGTGATTTGTGCGTAAAGTTTGGCGTCATTCCGGAATATTTAAGCATGAATCGGATGCGTTCATCGAAGTTTGAATGTTTGGAAGTTTAAAGAAAGGTTTCGATCGTCGATTCATAGGTTTTATTTTATTTGGTGTGATTTGAGACCTTAAGCAGGTTCGTGTTATGTTTTGAGACTGGTTTGTGTAATTGGACGGGGTCCCGAGGGCTTCGGGTGTGTTTCAGATGTGATTGGATTGTGTCGAGCTCTTATTTGATGTTTCAGCATCGTTTTCTTGGGTATAAAGGATACTATATTTAGTAAACGACCTTTGAGTTGTGATTGGATTGAACTATTAGATCTGTATCGTAATTACGGAGTCATAGCAATAAGAATCATCGAATTCCGATGTCATATAGAGAGTTATGCCCACTTCTATGTCGGGAAAGGTTGCTGGTGTTGCTGGTGCTCAGGCATCGCAATTGCGAACATTTGTTCGAAATTGCGAAGCCTATAGATTTTTGTCGTGGTTTGCAATTGCGAACACTTGTCCGCAATTGCGAGGGCCGCAAATGCGAACTCTATGTCGCAAATGCGATATCTGAGGTTGTTATTAAGACTTTATTTCGGGGTTTAGTCCATTCCTCTTACATTTTTACTTGGTTGGGCAATTTTTGGAGCTCTTGAAGAGGAGATTCTCACCATCTAGTCAAATATCATCTAAGGAAGTCAAATAATGCTAAAGAAAATATCTCCAATGAATAAAGGTTCAATCTTTGATGAAATTATAAAAGTCAACCCGGGCCCACATGGTCTAAATCCGAAATCGAGACCAAATCTTGATAACTCATTCTTCCCCGTGTCCAAATATATAATTAATTTCAAGGTCCGGCCTCAAATTGAGGTTCAAACTCCAAAATTAGCTCTCTTAATTTCAACCCAAAAATTCAATTTCTACACTTTAAAATCCTAGATTTAGGGGTAAAAATCTATGAGGAATCATAATATATAGTCAAAACTAAGTTAAAAATATTAACCGTAATGACTCAACCGGTCGTTTTGAGTTCTAGCATTTTAGTCTATGATTTGAGACTTCGAGCAACTTCATACGGTGTATTATGACTTGTGTGCACTGTTAGTTTTGATTTTCGAGTGGTTTGGGATGGATTTGCTAGAGTGATTTTCAAATTTGAAGCTTTAAGTTGGAAGAGTTTATCAAGGTTTATCTTTTGAGTAAACAACCTCGGAACTGGGATTTGATAGTTTAATAGGTTTGTATGGTGATTTTAACTTGGTCTTATGTTCAGATTTGAATTTGGATATTCCTAGAAGGTTTTGGCTCTATTTGTCAAAAGTTGACAATTTATAAAATTGAAGAGTTCATAGGTTTGACTGGGAGTTGACTTTGGTGTTATCGGACTCCTATTGTGATTTTGAGACCTTGTAAAGATTTGTTTTTTTTTTTATTGACACTTGTGTGCAAAGTTTTTTTGTGATCCAGAATATTTACATGTGATTCAGACTCATTCGGCAAAGTTTGAAGGTTTGAAAGTTAAGAGAATGATTTAATCTTTGATTCACAGTTTTGATATTATTTGTGGTGTTTCGAGTATTTGTATAAGTTTAGGTAATGTATTTGTATTTGTTGGCATGATTGGATGAGGCCCCGAGGGGCTCGGGTGTATTTTAGGGTAGTTTCAGATTGCTTTGAACCACTTTGAGGTTGTTGGTTTCTGGTGATCAGGCGTGCATCTCGATCACGAGGGTTTGCCGCGTTCGCAGAGGATTTTAGCAGTGGGGGAGATTCTATACATCACGATTGTGATGTTTACATGTGACTTGTGTCATTTGATCTATTTAAAGATGAAATCTTTTTCTTGGAGCTGGAATAACTTGTTCTTCCTGACTCGAAATTTCTTGTCCCTATTATAAAGTATACATATTTCCTAAAACTCCTGTGAATTTTATCCATCTTACAAATTATTTTAGGTGTAGGAAACGCAATGATTTCCTTATATGAAAGCTTCTGTACATTCTTTTGTTTGCAGGTATAACTCATTCTTATGGACCAAATAGCTGTAACATTACGAGGACAATGTAATTATTAGTTCTGTATACAAAAATAGCTGTACGAGTTAATTATAGCAGAAACCAATGATGTTCTATCTTCTTTTTTACTTGTGAATTTCATAGTACTGGAAAACACCATTACATCTTAATACAAACTCGAAATTACACGTCCAAGGCCAAAACTTGCAAAATGTTTTTACAGCCGCGAGCATGAATCACCTGAAAAGCAACAAGAATGAATAAAGACCCTTAAAAATACAAAACTAATCATGCATTGAGTACCTTAATCGGTGTGATTATTCTAATCAAATAGCTGAAAGACTGGCCCATTTCCCGAGTTCGTAGGGATCTGCATAATAATACAACTTGATTCTATTAGCCAAAGACAGTCCTGCTGCCACAGTCCGGACTCTAGCATCTGAATCATCCTGCTCTGATGGGTCGTCAGTGAATGCAGCAATATCTCCAAGAAGCCGAAATGAGATTCGGCGTGTAGAAATTTCTCTAGGGAAATCAAAGTACATTGCTGTCCCGGCCTTCACTTCTGGCAGCCTATGTTCTGCAATAGTGACCATACTGTGCGGTTCCTGTAGATAAATGTCATGAGAATTGTATACTTTAACTGCTGAAAACCACATCATCAGGGCATATTTCAGAAATTAGACGACAGTTTCTAGGGAAACCAAGCAGGTGGCTTTTTTATAGCTCAACAAACTTGTCCATGCATTAAAACCCATATCAATCTCGGGTGTGGATTGAAAAGCAATTCCTCTGGGAAGGTAGAAAAGAGGAGGAATTGTCTGGGTCTCCGGCCAATCTTACTGGCGAAATGTCATGTATTCGCATAAATGATTTGACCCAAGAATTCTTACCACACACGGGAGGGAAAGAAAGTCCATTTCTTTCAGCTAAAGATGGTGGTCATAAACTAACAAAAAAGTTTCCATCACCAAGAATGCTTGATTTTCTAGCTATCCGCATTGTCACCAAGGATGGGTAGATTCTTTTCTTCTCCATGAAGCAAATTATAGTTGAGTTTGACGAGAAACATACGATAGACAATGCAATAGTTCTGAAATGAATAGGAGTAACATAAAAATGTCAATATATGTCTAGATCCAAAAGTCTCTGTTGAAGCATTTTGTCACAAAATCTTCACTTTGATCTAGAAGAAATTCTGGTAAACCCAAACCATCCATCACTAGCAAGACGAATTCCAATGATGCTATGTTTCTCCTTGTGCAAGCTGAGGGCGACAGTGAAAAGGTAAGGATTTATTGCTGGCATGCATGTAAGCATGCTAAACTCTATATATCTACCTACATCATCCAAGGTCCAATGGAACTAGCCTACCGAACCTTTTGAAGCCAGATTACTTGGTTGTCAGGTGACTCACAGGAGTCTATCTCATAAAACAATTCATGCATGTAACTGGTTCACAATATTAACTTGAATATACGGCATCTTGCAAATGTGATATATTCATTAAAAAGAATTGATTCAATACATTTCTTATGTATCCATAGGTGCTATATTGGATTTGAATCAGATTTCTGATCAATCGAGTGATTGTCAGCATGTAAACACTAGGATAATGCATGGAAGAACTATGTTCATTTGAGGGAGAGACTGATATATATGTTATATGCTGGCAAGAATATTGGAGCAAGAAAACCTCATGAAAAGAGGGTTACCAATCTGTTCTAGATGTTATTTGTGTGGCCAAGATGCAGAGACAATTAGCCATCTGTTTCTACATTGTCGAGTGACAAGACAACTGTGGGAGTTGTTCATTAACATCAGGGGTGTCCGATGGACAATGCCAGGAAGAACATATGAACTTGTCTAGCTGGCACACAGGGGGGAGCTCTACATCTAACAAAGACAGTCCCAGCAGCCATTTGGCGGACAATTTGGAAGGAGAGGAATGCAAGGTGTTTTGAAGATATAAGTAGCCCTGTACAGAAGATCAAAATGAATTGCATTCTTCTTTTTAGTTTGTGGTGTAAAGCAGAATATACAGATGATCAGGATTCAATAGTAGAAGTTTTAGGCTCCTTGAGAGAACAGGGAAGTTTAATTTTTGTTTGTCTTAGCTCTTCTTAATGTAATCTTGGTTCCAGTACAAAATTTGTGCTGATGATTTATTAATATATTGGATCTGTTACCATCTCAAAAAATATATTGGAGCAGTTCAGGTTACTTAAGCTGATACTTGCAAGAGGAATTCTAGGGTTTAGCCCATCCTCTCCAATTTAATCTCATGCTGCAGGTCATTAGCAAACTGAGATTTTGCACCAGTGAGGAGATTCATCTAAATGCATTGGTGTCTAGAGCTAAAATCGGATAAAAAAGCTGTAGCTTTTCAAGATCAACCATGGAATCAATTCACAAGAAGGATGTCCAACAGTTTGTTGACAGCGAAAACTATCAGTTGATAAAATGTTAGTTTGTCTTCGTACCTGGAAAGCAGACACTTGAATATACAATACAGCTGGAGATATGAATCTGTCCTCCAATACACATGAAGAAACATCCCATGGATTCACCTGCTGTGGAGGTGGCGAATGGGTGACTCGAGGTTTTATTGCACTAAAACCATCAAGACGAAAACCTGCCACCATAGGTGAAACCGGGGGTAGAAACTGTTCTAAAACAAGGTCGTTGTCAGTTAGCCTCTCAACCTCAATTGGGACCTGGAACGGGAATGGATTAGAATATTATTCTTCTGTTTTATTTCAGGACTTGAACAAAACTTTAAACGGTAACTACTACTAGAGAGAGTTGTGAGTTTGCTGCACCTTGAATCTATTTAGTGGAGGAGGTTTATCCAACAAATTTCTTGTATTTATCTGGTCAGAGCCTTGACTTGATGCCCCAACATCTTTCCTCATTGGGCTTCCGACCACCAAGATTCTTTTGGCATGAAGGCATGGGTCACTTTCAACTGTTCCTCCAAAGGAGGCACGCCTCACAGGCTCCGCAAATGGGTTCTCCTCTAAAGACAAAAGACTCAAGTCTTTCTCAAAATTTACAGAACTCGAGCCAATTTTTTGTAGACGCAATGTTATCCAAATGATGCGGCAGCGAACAGGATTACGAAAAGAAAATTTTACATGTCTAGGCACTTCAGAAGACTTTTCCTGTCCACAAAGCTCAGAGGAAGACGTGATCAGAGATCTCATATCCCATTTCCCCATACATGATCTTTCTTCCTTGTGGATTTTATTGCTTGCCCAAATTTGAACCTACAGAGACAGCATAAGTTTCCTTACTTAATGCAAGAATTCAGCAATATAAGGAATGTGAAACCACATCAATTAAAATTGGAATAAATTGCATGAACAAGAAGCAATTTGCTAGGAATCTGTCATAAGCAAGTTGCTAAACTAGGATAAAACCTACAGGCATACTAGAAGTAGTTAAAGCATGAAATAAGCAACATACTACAGCGATTACATGATGAAAGAGAAATTGCATGAACAAGAAGCAAGTCGCTAGGAATCTGTCATATAAAAGTTTCATCTTTATGGTCAATCTAGGCCCATTTAAACCATTAGGTATATTACAAGTTACTCAACAACGAGCTTAACAGATAGTAGTTAATTAAACATATTGCACGATTATGTAGACTACTAAACCAACATTTAAGATTGTTTATCAGGAAAAATAAAAGCAGTCACAAAAAACACAAGGAGAAACATCTTATCACAATCCATCCTTCACAAGAAACAGCAAAATTTCCACATCTGAAACTCAATTGTCCTAAATAATACAAAGGAAACGTGGGCGAACTTAACACTGTAATTCCATTTCTGTGGAATGCTCCAAAGATAAAAAGAAAGTGCCACTTTGGGGGAGGGGAAGTAGGAAGAATCATGTTTATATTCCACAGACCATCTCTCTCCACCCAAGAGACAGGAAACCTTTTCTCCTTTCTTTCCAGTTCAATTTGTATAGTCCTAGAAGACTGCACATTTGAGGCCTTCCTTTTTCTCATTTCCCCATTTTACACTTCCTTCTTTGAGGTGCAAGGTGAGACAAGAAATAGTGAGCACAGTTCAAGTCTTATGTCGCACAAAAAAAAACCTCTGATCACAAAGATAGGCAAATCATGTGATGAAAAGCAAAGTGGGTCATGCAATATCACATGCGATTTTTGTTAGACAAGTTAAAACATACATACCATTTCTCTTTCCAGCAAAAGGAAAAGAAAAAGAAATTATAATTGCTTTTGGAAGTCAACATCCATGAGATCACATAAATAATAAACTTTAGCAAATTGCATGACAACATCAGATTAACATCAGGTCCGAGCTGTTGTGGCTTCTTCCATATTTGAGATGTGACAAAAACTTGCTAAAGCTAAAAATCTGTTATGTTAGGAGTGTACTTACAACAGGAGCATCTGTCATCGAGTAGCCACAAGGACTAACTAGAAGAACAACACCACAAACATCAGATAAATCACCAAGGACAATGACAAACTCAACAGAGGCAGCACTGTGGGGAGCTCTCCAAAATGAATCTTGTGCTCCAGAATTCAATGGAGCTAGCAATGACATGAATGGTGCAGAACCTGCTGCTGTTTCAACCTACAAAAGAAGGAGCAGGATTACACCTATTATAGATACTGAAACATTTGTAGGGCTTCAATATGATACTGAAACATTCGTAGGGCTTCACAAAGAGTAGGTGGTTTGTATCCTTAAGAGATATAAGAAAGAATTTGTTAACTTCTGGGATAACTAAACAAAACTAGTAACTTCGCAACCCCCGATTCCAAAATACGTTTATGGACTGAGTTACCAGCAGAATCAAAGAGTCAGAGGTAATTCAAGATTCACTAATAAACTAACCATTGCTTCAGCAAGTTTCAAAATGGGGAGAAGAAGAAAAGGCAGTACCAATATTTAACAAAACAGCTAATCAAAACTTAGGGCAGCCCGGTGCACTAAGCTTCTGCTATGCGCGGGGTCCAGGGAAGGGCCGGACCACAAGGGGTCTATCATACGCTGCAAGAGGCAATTTTTACGGCTCAAACCCGTGACCCAACTTTACCAGTTACACCGAGGCTATCGTAACTTATTATGATTAATTATCATCATATTAACTTGGCAGTTATTTTTCTTGATTTCCAAAGTTTATTCATTTAAAAGTTTCACTTCTACGAAACTAATTCAGGAAAATTGATTGAATCCAACTGCTTCCACCAAATTGATTGATCTAATACGACCCCTCTTTTATAGACTCCATTTTCATCAGCATGCACACACCAAAAAAAAACAATAAAGATGCTTGCACCACAGCCTAATTTCCAAAAGCATCACAGCCTTTCATTTTTAGTTCCAAAGTAAGACGAAATTCTACAAAAAAAATTTAGACATCCTATCAAGGAAGCTAACATTGGAGCTGCATCAATTCAAGAGCCATTACAATGTACAAATGAAAAAAGAAAAAAACTTTATTTGTAATGGATCATCAATGGAGGCTTTACTTCAACAGCTATGACAGCTTTTACCTTATTAGATTAATTTCTTTTTTCCTTTTTTTTAGGAAATTTGAATGACATAAGAACTTGAAAGCAGGATATGTTACAAGATTCAACTTCATACTTCATGGAGTTAAAAAAGAAACATGTTTGGTTTCTAAACTTATAACTGAGTGTACTTACTTTTATTTTTAACGGATCAAACTTGTATTTGATTGTAATGGATCAAACTTTTTCTTTTTAATAATCGTGGTGTGCGGGCCAGCTCGGGCGCACCTTGACTAATTCCACAGGATACCTTCCACCAGCCACCTCCCACCAACCACAGGTACCGGTAACTCTGTTCACCAAGGCTTGATCAGATGAGAATAAATCACATAGTATTTTTACCTTCGTGGGGATTTGAACCTTCATGGTTCTCACGCCTTCGTTGACCAATAGGCCACACCCTTAGATCAAACTTATTTTAGGAGCCAAATATTTTCATTAACAACTTAATTAAGGTCTAAAGTTGAATCTCGTAAAGATCCAAGTCTTATATCAATACTCGATCAAAAAACGACAATATGCCAAAAACAAATTCACTGGATTAAGGATGGGGTGCAAAAGAGAGAGCTCACGTGAAAGCATACATGAGATAATTAATCTAAATATTTAATGAAAACACAATCTGTGGTCTTTGGCTTTAGCTTTTCATAGTCCAGTATTTTGATTAAATCACTTGCATAGCTTAGCCATAATCCTTCCAATTAAGCTCCAAAAGAAAATTTAAGCTTCTCAAAAGGAAATTTTAAATGGAGTGCACCCAAACAGCTAACCTTGTAAATTTCTATGTAGTTCTATAATAGGATTGTACTTCTAGAGGATAATTCTCAGGATAAAAACCTTACCAAAAAAATTCTACTCTTCTTGAGAACCAGCCAAAAGATGATAATCACAATTAAGCGACCACTTGGACATACATTATTGTAAAATATTATATTATTATTTTCAATACAATGTTTGCTTTATATTTTGCGTATTTTGTCAACTTCAACTTGAAATAGAAATTTGAAGTTGGATAGCTTGATTAATGAGTATTTCCGATGAAATAATAGTTCTCACAATTTCAACTTTTGAACACTTTTTTCAACTTCAACTTTGAATACTCATTTTTCAACTTCAACTAAATGTCGTCCAGATAGATTGGCAGTCTTTGCAAGAGAACTACAGCCTAGAACAGCAAAAAATTGCTGATCAAGTTAATTGTTGCCAACTTGAGAGCCACCTATATGATTCTAAGAGAACCTTCAGCATACAAATCTTCAAATCAATATAAGCTAGATTTTGACATCTAAATACCAGTTTTATGTTTCAAGTCATTTAGCACCAATCAAGTTGGAAGAAGAATTTTTTTTGACGAGGTAATAATTTTACTAACAAAAGTTTGGACACCAAAAGGAAGAACCATGATGTATTTGCCAGTTTCTGTGGAAGATTTAGTTGTTTACCTAAGGGAGTTAATCCTATGGAATTTTGTGCGGAATTTGAAACAGTCTCTTTCCTCTTTTCCACTTTTTCTTGTTATCACCTATCCAGGTCAGCCTAGCAGTCTTAAGCCCCGTTATAGGCTACCTAAACCTTTATCTCAGTTCATCCATCTAATACTATATCAACTCGTGTTGCCGTCTAGGGACGAGCCCAAAATCAGCTTAGAAACCTCCACTCTTCCAATGCCAAATTTCAGGCAAGAGAATCTGGTTTACACATCAGGAGAAAGATAGAGAAATGACTTCTTAAACTTTAGGAAGTATGGCCAACAAGATATGCATAATGTTTGAGCTAAAACCTAAGCTCTCCACCAAGCAAGTTTCACCTTAATTACTGCATCAAGTAATTAGATGGAGAAAATAATTCTTTCAATGGCATCAAGTAATTCGGCAAATTAAGTAGTAGCATTTTGGGTCTAAGCGAATCCAGTTTATCGTCAACCATGAGATGCTGCATCATTAGCATTTGGTTTAAACAGATTCATGAAAAGATTAAACCTAGCATACAGTTGCTGAAAAATCAAAACATCAAAAGGTTTTCTAAGATAAAAAGTGCTAATAAAATGTGGACTGGGATAGGTCCAAAATATTACCGGGTGCAAAAAGCTTGCAAATGGAAACTCAGCAAGTGATTCCTCTCCATTAAATAATTCCATATACGCTGTTGGAGTCAGTTGGCAATTATTCCTCGAAGTAAATCTGATCACATGGTCTACAGCTTTTTGAGCAGCAGTATCTGCGCGAGCTTTCCTCCTCTGCCCAACCAAAACCCTGATGTAGTCCAAGATTAATGCATCAAGCACAACATCATGGCAGCAGGCTTTGCAAATGACACCATCAAGTATCATGGAATGATTTGAGGATAAATCAACTGAGTTTGCATAGATTGCTCCTCCCAGGCTATTCACGCCGTTGTAGCTAGCAACCTCCCTAGAGTTAACCATAGCAAGTAAAAGAGCCCCTTTCCCAGCACAACAAACTTTACAAACCTTTCTCTCACATTCAGAACACACAAAAGAGGCTTGTGCAGTAGTGGAAACAGAGAGTGTATGCAATACAGGCCCATCTTCAGCATGAACTTGACATGTCCCACCCATACATATCTCCCCCACTCCTGCTATATTCCAGAAATCTATAGCACTATCATCAGCAAACTCAAGACCACTGGAAGCAGTAATTTTATCCTCAAGAGAAGCATGTCCAAGCAAAGCAAGGATGTTTGCTACCCTGCACAATCCTCCTATACGAGAATCGTCAAGCAGCAGATTTGGATCTATACTGGCAGGATCAACGCCAATTGACAACAATGCCCTATCCCTTTCAGCAGCGGAGAGGTTCACGCGAAGGCGTTCAATTTCAAGTTTCATAGCTGCCATGTAACTTATTTTCCTCTCCTGCATAGTTAAATGTTGACAGTAGGTACGTAATTAAATCACAAATCTTTCCAGCTGGATCTAGTCAAAATACCATTAATAAGCATGCACGTACATTAGAAGTTCTTCTTGTACAAGTGTAACAGCCACAAAGGGACTATTAATAACAACAAACAAACTGGAGAAAAATGGAACCTTATTTATGTGGTCAAGCTACACTGTATATTCAACAAGGAAGCGAGGTGCTTCGTATAGAAAATTCCTAACACCTAACAAATTTCATACATGCATTACTAACGACATAAAAAGGATGCATCATGATAAGCATCTCTTGAGAAGCATTGATAGGGACATGATGAAAGACAAGTCCGTGACAGACAGCTGGGACCATTAGAAATCAAATCATTGTGTTGTTAAGAGCTTAAATGGTCATTACTTTTGATCCCACCATAGTTGGGGGACACAATCACGCACTTGTCTTCATAAGACGAATCTATACTCTTAATAGAATCCATGAGCGCACACCTTCCAACCCCTCCTCGAATTGTCTGGCCCTTTTTTCGCATTTAGTTATATTAGGTTCTTCGGTCAAACTTTTATCCTTTTATGCGGTTCTCTTTTCGGTCCTATTCTGCAAATTTGTTGCTGGTATGCATATTAGTTCAGGTTGAGTTTCGTTATTTTCCTAAGTAATTGGAAAAGGCCCCTTTTGGGGCCCAGGAAGGAGTTTGCATTAAAAAGTCACTTAACCGCTTTATTTATTATATTAATTACTCCCTCCGTTTCAATTTAAATGACACACTTTCCTTATTAGTTTGTTCCAAAAAGAATGACACGTTTCATTCTACCCACTTTACCCTTAATGAGAAGCTTTTATAGCCACACAAAATATCATAGCCCCATTAAGCTTCTGCCCCTTAAGCTTTAGCACCACATATTTCAAAAGTCTTCTATTTTTCTTAAACTTTGTGCCAAGTCAAACTACATCATCTATATTGAAACGGAGGGAGTATTGATTATTAGTATTTACTCTTTTGCCATCTTCATTTTAAAGAAGAGTTCTTCCGTTCTTGGTTAATATTTGATAGCTTCTGCTCCATCAAGAAACTGGCACGTCTAAAACTAAAACATACCATCAACAGAAAAAATAACAAAAATTAGGGAACATGACATAAATAGGACATGATACTATGTTATTTTCCTTCTAAGAAAAAGTATAATTTCATTGAGTATATTTTGCCAGAATACCAAACTACCCCCTGAACTTGGTATGGTTTACTCCGTGCCCATCTAAACTTTTCGTAGTCCTAATTACCCCCTAGACTTGGCTATTTGGTAGCATTTACCTTATGGGCGACCTTAGTCCAAGGATATGAGAGATATGCACTACCACGTGTATTTGTTTGTCCACGTGGCATTTTTAAAGATAATATATTTTTTTTTACCTTTTAAAATTCATTAATTATTTTAATCATCTTTTCGGGCAAAATTTAGAAGACACTTAGGTGGGACTCCAATATAGGCTAAAACATTTTTTAATTTGACCAAAAATGGAGTTTGAGCCAAACTTTTTACAGGTTTGGCCCGGAAAAAAAACACAATCGAAACAAAGTCATAGCATCTAATGAAGAAACAATAAGAAATGCATGGTTGGTACCTGTGAGAAGGCACGGGAGAAAATATGATATATTGATATTGTGTGTGATGCAATACAAGAGGTGCTATTTATAGCTACTCTATACAAAGGGGATACTACTCCTATTCCAATGTGGGACAATTACATAGCTATCTCTAACACTCACCCTCAAGCCGGAGCATATAAATCATATGTACCGAGCTTGTTACATATATAATCAATGCGAGGACTAGTGAGGGACTTGGTGAAAATATCTGCAAGTTGATCATTCGATCTCACAAACTTCGTAGTAATATCTCCTGAGAGTATCTTTTCTCTGACGAAGTGACAATCAATCTCAATGTGTTTAGTTCTCTCATGAAACACCGGATTTGATGCAATATGAAGTGCAGCTTGATTATCGCACACAAATTCCATCCGACTTATTTCACCAAATTTCAACTCCTTGAGCAATTGTTTGGTCCAGACTAGTTCACATGTTGCCATA